GGGCCGATGATGGCCATCCTTCGGCGCCTCTTCAGAAGGGGCTGCTCGTCCATATCTGAGTCTGAAGACTCTTGTATTTGATCTTCGGGACGAACAGGAGCTTTGCCTTCTCTGTGTCTGTTACTCTCTTCAGACTGTAACAGACAGGGGGGAAGAAGAGTGTGAGTAAAAAAAAAAAAAAAAAAAAAGAAGAAGAAAAGAAAAAAGTTGTCTGAAAGCTCACCGAGGTTTTCAGCAAAGCCTCGTCTTCTTCAGCTGCTCTAGCTGCAGCTTCGGCTTCAGCAGCTCTGGAGGACCCTTCTCCTCCTTCACAAGCCTCAAGTACTCGTGCAACCTCTTCGGCTGTGCGGGCAGCTTCAGCTTCCTCGTTCAGCAGCTGAAACCAAGGGTCTCTCTTCTTCCACCAAGGCTTCTGCCTCTGATACAGAGCAACAGCCTCAATTTGGAAGTGGGAAGAGTCCAGATGAACTTCCCTATGCCTCGGCTCAGTGATAGACGGGGCCCGTTCAGTTACAACTCGCTCTCGGTTAACACCAAGACGAGCGTAGTTAATACCAACGTTGGTCTCGTCCCGCTCTGAAAAAAGGAAAGGGAAAAAGTTTAGCTCAGATATGTTGGCACAGCATAAAAAAGCAAAGCGAGAGAAGAAAAAGAGGTAGTTAAAAGCCTCGGCCCCAGCCGAAGAAGCTTACCATCCTTAAACTTTCGGCTGAGGCCAACAGCTGCTAGCATATTCTCTTGGAAAACGTAATGCGTATCGGGGAGCCAAGTCTCCGGGATATGCTGCATTCGACCACTCCCCCCCGGGTTCGGCAGCTTGCCGAAGATATGTTGCTGATCCAGGTTCGGATCCGCCCCGTTATCTGCGGGGGGACCTAGACTTCCCATTTCGGGATCAGGCTCAGCTAAGTACCGGGGAGCGCTGAAGACACAAGGGTGGCCCGGATCTATGGGTGCCCTAACCCAAATCCATTGACCTCTCCAGTCCTTGTCTGAAGAGTCATTTGGCCACATGGTCAAGTATTGGGGCCGGGACTCAATCCGATACCACCCAGAACCATGGCTTCCGTGCCCACTCTGAATATTTGGCACTAGCCGATGGAGCTTTCTGAAGCAGTGCAGGTTCGGCACGTATCTGAAGAACTTGCAGACCCATAAGTATGTCATCACCCTTCGGATACTGGTGGGGGTTAGCTGACATAGGGAAATGTTGTAATGGATCAGCAAGTCTCGGACGAAAACGTCCAAAGGGAACCTCAGCCCATACTGAAGCTGTCTCGTGTACACCCCCACATACCCCGGGGGTGGACGATGGATTCTATCGGATGCTGAGGGCATTCGGCACCAATATCCATCAGCTTCAAAAATGCCGTAGTGCAACTCAATTTGCTCGGCAAATCGATATTGATCGGCGTTCTCTACCCACCATGAGTAGGGGCGGTTCTTTATCATGGCCGAAGCGACTTCGGCATTCTCCCACTCTGAAAACCCAGGGAGGATATCCCAAAGGACAGCGGGAATTTCATCGTCCCGTCCAGAAGCACTCGGCTCATCCGTTCTTTGAGGAGGAGCCGAGGAAAGGGGAGTCGCCCTAATCCCATCAGCAGGGTCAGACTCCGGCCTTCGACCATTCCAGGTCCCAATCCTATTCCTAGGATCGGGAATCGGCCTTGCTCTTCTTGGAGCACGGGCTCTACCTCTAACTCCTCTTGCCATGGACTATTTCGAAGAGAAAAGTCGAAAGAAAAAGGGAAGGAGTTCGAATTCGAAGAAAAATGAAATAAAATCAAAGGAATTTACCTTGATCTGAAGCAAAAGTCGCCGATTTACGAATTGGTAGTGACAAGTCTCAGCTTCTAAGCTTAATGCTCGGGGAATTTGCGAAGTTTTGATGCGGGCTCTTGAGCGTTCTTGAGAATTCTGGGTTTGTGTTGATGAATGAGTGGGGAGAGAAGACGCGCCTCTATTTATATCTCCAGAAATGGGAATTCAAGGAGTCTGCGTTTCAATTTCTCTCAAGCACCCCACTAAGTAACCGTTAAACACACGACCTTGCAGTTAAATCGCCCACTACCCATCCAACTTCCGCAATTATCCACATTAACTGTTGTTATCTCATTAATCATGGGTTAATTACGGTTTAAATTCACATTTTTGGATTAACAAATCATTCACTTCCCTCCTTTTCTGATTAAATCAAACCCGACCCGTCATCCTTCCAAATCGGGTCTGGGGGGCAAGTTGTTTGGGTCCAATTTAGTCCAATTGGGCCTGGTCACTGAATGATCCAATTAAAAGCCCAAGGTTAAGGTTCAACTCTCCAAATGTGCTAAAGTCAAAAATCAACATCCTCAAAGCCATGTCAAGGTCAGTCAACGGCCCAATCAGCTTGGCCCAGCCCAACTGACTTCCGGGCCCAATCCGCCTCCTTCATTAGCCAAGGTATAAAAGCCAACAATTTGGTCAATTCTTGGTAAGACAATAAAGCCTCAAGCAACTAAACTCTTGCACAGCTTTCTCTCTCTAATATACTGACTTAAGCATCGGAGGGGCCTTCCTCGGCGTCCCCCCCGAGGCTAGTTTACGTGTATTTGTTGTGCAGGAAACCCTCGGCTCCTGCGTCGTTCGGACCGAGACCAAGTTCCCTCAAGATAAAAGGATCTTCCGAGATTCGATTGTTTTCATCCGAAACAACATATATACTAAATCCACCAAAATTTGTTTACTAATGAGTAGCATAACAGGTATGATCCGCACCATTGTCTTAAGGCCCTTGTGAATGATGGGATATCTTGTCGTATATAGTTGTATTTAATCAGTAAGGAGAAAGACTCTACTGAACTTATCCTCTATTATAAATAGTCAATCTATCTACACATTTCAATACTTAAGAGTAGATGGGAAATTAAAATTAAGGGAATCCCCTACTCATAAGCATAAGTAGATGGTAGGCTTGAACTTGTGACTTCAAAGTCACGAGGTGATCACGAGTTCTCCACCATTTTCACCAAGTATGTTTGGTTGTCATACATAGTTGCATGTATGAATTAGTTTTATATGCATATAGCATATACAAGTATATTATTAATCATAGTAGTTAGACTTTATATAGTAAGAACAATTTGCAATCTTCTAGAAAGCCATACTTGAGGGTGGGCCTTTTGCTTCGTGCAATAGTAAAACGTCATAGTCCTTGAGTCATACTCGATCATAAGGCTTATACTTCGTGCACGTATGTGTAGCCATATGGGTTAAGATCATATGTTCCTACTAATTTCTTATCTTGTCCAACCTCAATTCTTTTAGACACAGTACACATATCACTAACACAAAATCAAACGTCAAATGTTATTGGTTAATAGATAACGAGATACAAGAAGAGACACTATGATCGGGGCTAATTGCTTATATGATTAATCAACTTGAAATATACCTGTATGGCTGGCTAATAGAGACCCTTTGTAAAAACGGTATAGATGAATTCCTTTCAAGATATGCATGAATACCTTTGCAATGGAATATGAATAAGGTGCTATATAATTTTTCCTTTAGGCTTTTAAATATTGTTTGTCATCGTAAACTATATATTCTCTTTCTAATGAAAACTGATAAGAATGGCCCTTTAAGCTATTGCAGCGAATCAGAGAGGAAGGGAACAGAGTCACTGTAGTCAAGTAGTAGACTCATATGGCCTGGCTACCTTGAACTAGTTAGAGTTAAGCCACTAGATATAGTGGTGAACTATTTTGAACTAAAGCTGTATACGTTTGAACCTCTTTAGACAACATATCGATAGAAAGTGTCAGTTAACTAACTATTTCGGACTAAAAGGCTGTATACCTTATCAGCTGTTATTGTTGACTTGTGAGGAAGTCAACTATAGAGTTATTCTCCCTCTGTTTCATATTAAATGCAACACTTTTTATTTTCGGTCGTTTCATAATAATTATAACACTACTATTTTTGGCAAGGACTCACCATTATTATATAATTTCTCTCTTCCACTAATCCCACTTCACAAATATTTCACTATTTCTCTTTCCTACCAACCCCACTGATACTACTTTTTTTTATTATTTCTCTCTCCTACCAACAATACATTATACTTCCTCCGTTTTTTTTAGTTGACACCATTTGACTTAAGCACTATTCACAAATTACACTTTGACTAGCTTTTGTGATTTATACCTACGATAAAACATAGTCAAGTGGAATCTTGCTTGAATAGTCTCAAAATATATTTTATTAATATCTACTTTTTATAATTTTACAATATCGAGAATTAGACATATTAATTGTTGAAATAGTGCGTTGGCAAGCGTGATAAGAGAAAGATGTCAAATAAATGAAAACGGAGGTAGTATTATACTACCTCCGTTAAATGTTATGTGCAACTTTGGAGGGAGTTGCGGTTACCAAGGCAAAACTTAAAGGGCAAAGATTAGGAAAAGTTTTGTAAAGTAATTAAAGGAAGAGGAGAGAGAAAGTAGGACCCGTCCACTTGCAAATTGGTAGGGAAATCTGCTAATTTTAGGAGGGACTTGTTTTCCCTCCCAATTTTTCACCAAAATTCGAATTGAGTGAAATTTTGGGTGGGTTTTCATTTCCCTCCTATTTTTTTTAAAAAATAACTACATTCATTCAAATTTTTAACCTGTTTTTAAACCAAGCATTCATCATTTATGAGGCTTATAAATACCAGCCCCCACAAACATTCAATGTTGCACACTTAATTACAAACCAGAATTTTTTCAAAAGATCAAATGTTTACCCAAAAGTTAGCACTAACTACCCATGATTAGCCCATATTTACCCAAAAAATTCCCCTAAACTAAAATTAGTGTTGCACATCTTCAATCTTCATCATCTTCATCACCTAGCAACCTTCATTATCTACATATTCACCTAGGGAAACTTCATCTCCAAAATAAAAAAAAAAAACAACAGCCAACCCTATATCATCAATCTCAATCCGAGGAAAAAAAAATCAGACACAAGGCATGGCAGAATTTATTGAAGCTCTGTTCTATGATGTTGACCAAATACTAACAGAGGAAACAATGGTAGAAATCTACTATGATCAACAAGAAGAAATGCAAGATGAAGACTTAGAACAATATGAAACAGAAAATGAAAACATGCAAGAAGAAGAAGAAGAAAATGGGCAGCAATGCACACAAGATGTTCACATTGCACATGAAGAGGATGAAGACAATGACATGTAAGCATTCAATGAAGTTGGGAATCAACAAACACAAAGGAAGCAACTCACTTTACAAAAGAAAAGGGAAATTGTTGATGCAATGTTGGTGAAAATGCAAGATGGGAACTTACCAAGGGGTCACAAGAAGATTTTATCAGTTCAATTCAATGTTCACAAATCAATAATCACTAGAATATTCACTGACTTTAAAAAACAGATGGCATAGGGAATTTAATTGATGTCAGGAAGAGTATGGCAAAACAGGTCCAAAGCCAAGGGAATTTTCAGATGAATTCCTACAGTCAGTCCCTCTGCATTTAAGGCAAACAGAAAGAAGTTATGTAGCTGTCTTGAAAATTTCTCATGTCACTCTTCATAATTTGAAGAAAAAGGGAAGGCTGAGAACACACATAAGCAGTAACAAGCCAACACTGACATTAGACCACAAGGTAGCTAGAATAAAATGGGTTCTGTCACATATAAACCCACTTACATCAAATGAGGACCCCACTTTTGTTGACATGAACCATGTCATACACATAAATGAGAAATGGTTCTATCTCAATTCTGATAAGAGGAGATTTTATCTCCTACCTAAAGAGGAAGATCCCTACAGGACACAACAGTCAAGAAGATTCAAGTTTAAGCCATTGTATGACAGAAATGGGGAACTACTCCATGATGGGAAGTATGGAATATTCCCATTCACTGTCAATGAGAGAGCTAAGAAGTCAAGCAAAAATAGAGCAGCAAGCACATGGGAAACAAAGACACTCCAGAATGTCAACAGAGAGGTGATTAGGGAGATGTTACCGACAAAGGTCATACCAACAATTGTGTCTAAATAGCCTGAAAGTCTTCCAAAAAATGTTGTCATTCAATGGGATAATGCAAGGCCTCGTCAAGTTCCCAGAGATGAGGAGTTCATTGCAGCAACAACAGCAAATGGGTTCAACATTTAAATTGTATTCCAGCCAGCACAGTCACCTGATTTGAATGTGTTGGACTTAGGCTTGTTTAGGTCAATTCAGTCTTTGCAATATCTGTCTTTTCCTTGCAATCTAGATGAGCTAGTTGAGAAAGTCATTGAGTCTTATGACACATTCAACCCTAAAGTCAACAAGTACATATGGGTGACTTTGCAAAGATGTATGATAAAAATTCTCAAGGGACAAGGTTGGAACAAGTACAAAATACCCCATATGAACAAAAATAAACTTGAAAATCTTGGCATTCTACCAGATCAAGTTAAGGTGAAGAAGGAAATTGTGATGGAGGCTGTGGAGTACCTGAACACTATGTTTAGACCAGCAAATCAAGGCAATCAAGATGCAGCAGAAGATATGGAGGTAGATGCAGACTAGGGGACTCATCAGAATGAAAAACAAGACAAGAGCAACATGGAGTGCCACACATAACCACTTAGGTCTTTTATTTATTTATTTTTTTTAAACTCTGTGTGAATGAATAGGTGGTTAGGTGTATTTTGTTTATTAGGATGATCCAAACATCTAAGGCAGTCATATGTAACTTCTTTTGATCATGTTTTGGTCCATATGTAACTACATTTTGATTGGAATGAAAATAAAAATGTTTTTTGTTATGTGGCCAATAAATCCATTAGAAGAGTGTGTATGATTGTTGAATACAACTCTTCAACTTAAGGTTACCTCAACAACAATCTCAATACAGAAATTGTTGGAGCAAAACTCTTGTTTAAAGTGAAATTCAATGGAGTCCCTTCTTCATTTGGAATAGAAAACACAACTTAAGTGAATGGAATGGGGGACTCACTACTTGAGTGTATCATAACACAAAAAAGTGGGACTCTTTTATGAAAAAATTCAACAGCATAAAGGGACTGACAATGTTCGCTATACAAATGAGCATTGAGAATAGTCTAAGCTGCAAGAAGCACAACCTCACAAAACCAAGCACACAATAGCCTCACCATTCATCAACCAAAATCCCCTAGGTACCATTAGTCATTATTCCAACACCAAACCAACAACGCAAGTCAATGACTCCAAAAGATGCAGCATGAAGCAACAATAATGTCCAACAATAACCAATAACAATTTCAACCAATAACCAACAATAACCAACAATAGTCTCAAACATTAACCAACCGCAAATGTCCAACATAAACCAACAACAATTTCTAACAATAGCCAAAAGTCAATCCAACAATAACTAACAATAATTTTCAATAATGTCCAACAATAACCAACAACAATTTCCAACAACAATCAGAATTAGAAAGCCAAATCCAACAACCCACCATAATCAGGAAGATAACAAACAACCAGAATAAGGAAGTAAATCAAGCCAACATAATCAGGAAGCCAACAATAATTCCCAAAAATCACTTCCAATAAAGCACAAAGGCAACAACAATCATGATAAATAATCAAAGGAGAGAGACTCATAATCAATAGAACATAGAGCAAACAACACCAGCAGGGAAGCAAAGCAGATATAGCCCAGCAATAAACAAGAATCAACATAAAAAAACGAAGGACAGGGACTCAAATTAGACATGAAGTAAGTTAGGGTTAGAGATCGTTACGCAAGCAGTCACTCAGAGGGTTGAACCTTAGGGTTCATCCTCCTCACATAGTGCTTGTAAACAGGGCCTGAATTTCACCAACTTCAAGGGGAGGGACATTGCTGGTATGCTTCTTCGAAGGAGGTGATGAATCCTTCTTTTTCTCAGGCTCATCATCAGAGGAAAGCTCAATAACCTTCTTATCAGGCAGCCCACGGATTCGCCTTAGAGCCACCAGTGCTGCCTTCCTTCTAGCCCGGATCTTAGTGGGAGGCCTAACCCTCTTAGATCTAGGCTTTTTGGTGGGCGCAGGACTCCCCTCACCACTTTTAGCAACCAGATTTACAGCTACATCGGTGAAGTCAAGCAATTTCTTGCCCCAGGACTCACCCTAACCCTCAGCCCTCTTGAATTGCTCCTTCTCACCAACTCTTTCAAGAACCTTCCCCAACGCCTTGTAAGTCGTCTCTATACAGTAGGGACCAGACTCACCAAACTCATAGAATTGGCGAGGAAATGGAGAGTTCGTCTCAATGGATTGAATGAGGGAGAGAATCAAATTACCCTCTTGCTCTGAATCAGTGGCCATCTACGCTTCGTGAAGGGGTTCAAGGTTAACCATGTTGCTGGGGGACTCGATTTGTCAAAAATCTGATGAATCAAGGACATATCTGGAGAGAGAAAGTGGAGAAAACGAAGGATGAAGAGGAAGAGAAAGTAGAAGAACAGGAACTAGGGTTCATCTGGAGAATTCTCCAGAAGAAAAAGGGGAACCCAGCCATTGTAGTTAGTTTTGGGTGGTTGGGAAGATGAGTAAATGAGGGTAGTAGGGGGGAAATGGGATGATAAATAGAGGGAGCCATTAGATTAGTGTAGTCAGATTAGGTTTAACTTAATGAAATTAAAAAAAAAGATAAGGGTAAAATTAAGAAAATCAGATTATTTAAGTAAGGGTAAATAAGTAATTTCCAGCTTTTTTGTTTACTAAGAATGGAAAGAAAATGGAAAGTTGCACATAACCTTGATCATCCGTTTTTGGCAAAAGTTGCACATAACATTTAACGGAGGTAGTAAAAAAAATCCTCTTTTTGGCCTAACGCTATAAATTTTCTTAAACTTTGTGAATACTATAATTTTGCATTTAATATGAAACGGAGGGAGTACACAAATTTTTATATGTGGCTGTTACACCGTGTAGTCAGGGTTACTTATTCAGGGGCTACTCGGTCGGTCAGGGATTACTCTCACAAAAAAATCGTGCTAACCGACTGAATAACCCTAGAATATAAGTAACACTTGACTGAGTGAGTAACCCCTGAATAAGTAATCCCACCCATACGATGTGGCTAGCTACACAGAAAAAGCACCTAGAGTTATAATGCCCTTGTTTAGAGATTGTTATTGATTCAAAACAGTAAGCTGTTTAAATTATACACCTAACTAGCTGTTGACAATTATGATTTATGATAAAAAAGCTAGCAACATAGTTAGTTCTTGGCTCCACATTTGTACTGTGTTTGAAGGTAAATGCATGAAGCATTTATAAAATCTCCAATTGGATGTTTATTTCTGCATCCACTTCACTAGTCACTGTCAACTATATATATGTTAGTGTTGGCTACTATCCATTGTGACCGACTTCCTAGTTCCTTGACTATTTGTTGTGGTCAGTCAGAGTCATGCACCGCCAGCACCGTAGCTTAGCTTCACAAAATAGTTCATTGCTCTGTCTAAGTGATTACAATAACATTTTTTCGTGTCTGTGTCGGATTTGAGCTAGCAAAAGTTAATACATCACTAACCAAACAAGAAAAAAAATGGATTAATGTCAAGGGTTTACTACCATTTTAATTAAATGGATCAACACGACACATACGTTTAATAAAACACTTAAGGTTAGGGTTAAGATTTCCATTACAAAACAAGTATGACAATTCGACCCGCCTAAAATCAACCAATAGTTTATGGAATTGATGATAAATCTTGTAAATGGGGCTATGTTTAACATAACACGATAACACAACACAAATCGGTCACAGGAAAAGCAAGTTATTTGTATCAAGCCTTGCTTCCAACACATTTAATTGAACAGGAGAACACGACACGTTTTGAATAAACGATCGGGTCAGTGAGATTTCCCAATTTATTTATCTTCGAAAATGAATACAAATATTAGTTTGGATTAGTGTTACATTTTCGCAATAACTTATAATAGAGAATACAAATATCCTATGCGTTGTTGTTATCAGAGTTAAGACTGTTTGGGTCCAATTTAGTCCAATTGGGCCTGGTCACTGAATGATCCAATTAAAAGCCCAAGGTTAAGGTTCAACTCTCCAAATGTGCTAAAGTCAAAAATCAACATCCTCAAAGCCATGTCAAGGTCAGTCAACGGCCCAATCAGCTTGGCCCAGCCCAACTGACTTCCGGGCCCAATCCGCCTCCTTCATTAGCCAAGGTATAAAAGCCAACAATTTGGTCAATTCTTGGTAAGACAATAAAGCCTCAAGCAACTAAACTCTTGCACAGCTTTCTCTCTCTAATATACTGACTTAAGCATCGGAGGGGCCTTCCTCGGCGTCCCCCCCGAGGCTAGTTTACGTGTATTTGTTGTGCAGGAAACCCTCGGCTCCTGCGTCGTTCGGACCGAGACCAAGTTCCCTCAAGATAAAAGGATCTTCCGAGATTCGATTGTTTTCATCCGAAACAAAGACTATACTTGAACATTGTAAAATAGTGCATAGAATAAATGAATAAAATCGTAATTGCAGTGATCGAAGGGTCAAGGATTCAAGGGGCGCTAGCTCTAAAGAGCACAAAAAACCTAGAAGAAGACAGGATTAAAGAAAGAGTAGTCATACCACGTGTTATTGCAATGCATCAACATAAACTTTAGACACAGCACATTAATAACTTTATAAAGATAATAATCAAAAGTTTGAGTTGTAATTAATCAACTCTTTATTCCTTAAAATGTAGTAGTCTTTTTCTTGATAAATTTATCGATCATTTTAACACGATTCTCTCGATTTTTGTAGGACCATGAAAATCCAAATAACATAATATAAAACGTAGCACTCATTTGTTTGGTCATTTATGTATATGCTATCCTGTCGAACAGTCGCAGTGCCTTATGTCTTGCATGGTCTTACACTCTTACTCACTCACTCTTCGTGTTGCAATGCTGCCGATTCATCTCTTCACTTGATCTGTTTTTGAGCCACTTTGTGAAAGAATCAAGGGTATTCATGTCGGCCCTATAGTGTTTTTGAGTAAATTCTAGAAAAAGTGGCCATGTAAAGTCCGGATATACCCTCGGGTGCCCTAACTCGTCGTCTACCAGTTCACCTGGTGGACTAATCACTTTGTCTCCTTTGGGACACAAAAAGAATGCTAGTGATTTTCGTGGAGTGTTATTGTTTACCACTGCCCTGTGCAAGCAACTCTTGTACTGCCCATTCGATAAAGCCTACACCCAAAAAAAAAAAAAAAAAAATCGTGTTAAAAGATAAGTGCGCAAAATAATGAGGAAGTGGTACGAAACCCTACATAACATACGTCCTACAATGTTATCCCACTTTGTAATATGTGAGTCACGTCACTAAGTGGGCACACATTGTAGAAACAAAGGGAGTAATTAAAAAATAAACTGTAATTCCAATGTTGATTACCATGAAGGTATCGCCAATGTTGACAACAAATGCTTCAGGATTAGGACGAATGGAGCACCATTTATCATTGACAAACACTTCAAGGCCTCCTACGTGATCTTGATGAAGAATTGTTAGCGACGTGGGATCACAATGAGGTCCTGTTCCAAGAGTTATATCAGGCTTTTGGCAAGGTGGATAGTAGTTTAGCCTCACTATTGAGTCATTCTCTTGAAAAAATTCCCTGAAATAGTTTCTTCCAACTCCTAGACTCATTCCCAAGAGCTCCATGATACCAAGAGATAGGTTGCTCATAGCCTTACAATATTCTTGGTACACCCGCCTACACGAAAAAAAAAAAAAAAATGTTAGGACTAATAAGATGTAAGTGACAAAAATACAATCTTTTTAGTCTTCCCTCAAAGATTTTATAACATACATATGGATATACCACATTTAAAACTTAAAGTTATCATCGGTGATTAAAATTAGAAGTTTCACTTACTAAAATTAGAATCATGTTTTATTTTTTTTCAACGTCCTTTATATAGAAATATCGAATGTGGTCGTTTTTATGTAGGGACAAAGGAAGTAATACATACAAATAGCTACTGTCGTACCCAAATTCTTGAAACTCAGTCCCCATTGAGTTCAATATATAGTTTTCTACCATATTTGAAGCCTTATCATCAGCCGAATATCGAAAGGAAAAGGTCTCTTTCCAAGGCAACTTAGTAGTAAATCTTCCAACAAAGCTACTAGAATAGCCACAATGATCACCAGGTTTCCTAAGAGCTCTCTGCTTTTGAGAAATCGGCTTTTCAAAAAATTGATTCATAACTTCATGTGCTTTGTCTAAGAGCTTAGAATTTACGCCGTGGTTAACAACTAAGAAGAAGCCATGCTTCTCGCATGCTTCATTAGCAAGGCTAGTTGCATTTGACACCGCCACCGGGTCTCCGGAGAGGAACCCTCCTAGATCAATGGGAGGAACCTCGAGCTCCGGAGGCGGTTGTGAGCATGGTTTTTCTTCATCTGGCCATATAAATTGGGTTGGGATGTTATGTTCATGTTTGAGAATTGATGTATCAAACAATGAGATTTCTTGATTAGAGGGTGGAAGAGTAAGAAGTGTTTGCATTGCTAAAGATTTAAGCATGCAATATTTGTTAATACAAATTTTCTTTGGAGTGTAAATGGAGCTGAGAATTTAAGAGAAAGATAAGGGAATGAAGAGAGACAAGTTTAAGCTGTTTTTTTTAATGAAGTTGAGAAGTGGAGGAGAGGGGTTTAAATGAGAAGAGAAACACTTGTTCAAAGTGTCATGTCAACTTCTATATTACTCCTTTCATACCAACTAGCCTTTTGGCCCATGCAATGCATGGGTAGTTGTTCATAGGTATATAATGTAATTAATCTTTTGTTTTATACATAATACATGTATGTTTAAGTTATTGGAAAAATAAATAGTTTATAAAGGAGAAAAAAGGGTGGAAATTGAATTAATAAACTTCTAAGAGATACGAAGTATTAAGTTGGGGAAAATGAACTAAATCGCATTAATTTGTATTGAATTAAGGCTAGTTTTCTTTTTTATTATTACTATTAATATGCTAGAAAGGGGATTAAAAAGATAGGTTAAATGAGATGATATGTGGCATTATTCAATAAAAAAAAAGGTGACATATGACATTATGATTTGTATTTTTATACACTAAGTATAGATCAATTTGGTTCGTTTGTTTTCTTTACTTATTCGCTTTTACTTTCACTGTCATCAAATAAAAGTCTCATTTTTCTTTAGCACCAGTTTTTAGAAGTAAATAAAAATGCTTTAAATAAAATTCCGAGGTTAATCGATTAAAGGTGAATATCAAGAGAGAGCGTAGCTAGTGGGCCAAGTGTATGGTAAGAGCAAGAGATGGAGAGATCATAGTGTTGTAAATTAAATTTAAGTAAGAAAGTTTAAAAAGAAATTATTGTAAGTAGGGTTTGTAAGATAAATTTAGAAGAGTGTGGTTTTGTATGTAGAATAAGTTTGTAAAAAAAAAAAAAAAAAGGAGGTGCAAGGATGGATCTAAGAGAGGGCTTGTCCGGGCCACGGCCCACCCTATGCCCAACAATTTTTAGTTTTATTTGTATTAAACCGTTGTGTTTGTCAGATAAAGAATAGTTAGTTGGCTGAGTTGAATTGGTTTCATTAATACTGATTTTAAAAATTCCACATGGGAGACAAACTTTTTTCGAACTCTCTATAGTGTCCCTGGGATTTTATATAATTGATTACAGTGTCCTAATTGTCATTAAATGGGCTAACCTACCACAAAATGGTTTAATAGTTTACCATATTTGATGAAAAGACTTACCTACCCCTGATTTAATCTTCTTTCACTCATTTCCCTTAAATGCTCACTGCAGTTCACCTCCTTGCTCGACATTGTTGAACAAAAAAAAAAACCCAAACCCTTTCCTCTCCCTTCAATCTCAACGAAATCTCAGATTATCACCATGAATTTTGGTGGAGTTTCGTCAAGGAAGAGAGGCGCAACAGATGGAAGCTTTAATTGGGTAAGGATGAAGCACTGCAATTGCAACCCCCCTAGCAACGCTGAGGTTAGGTTTTCTGATTCCATGACCAATCTAAAGAAGGCGTACTACAGATGCAGGGAAAAAGTGCGAGGTTGTGGATTTTTTGAGTGGGTTTCAGAAGATGATGTGAGTTTTTATGATGCTTCACCAAATTCTGAGATTGCCGCCATACATAACATGGTGGAAGACCTTTTTGTTTGTTGCAAGAGGCTTATGAAGATTGCTATTACCATATTAGCAATTTGTGTTTTTTTTTATCTGAAATGATGTAAACAGGATAATGAGGGAAAGGGGAGTATTGTTAGGGTTGATCCTAATTAAGTTATGTAATCAGGGGTAGTGATGCAATGTGTACTGGTTTTGTGAATGCAATTATGTAATACAAGCAAGTATAAATAAAAAGTCAGTTATGATTCTTGCTTTCCATTCTATGTACATGTGCTGTTAATGAGAACAAAGTTGAGATTTGATAAAGTCTAAACACTTGTGAAATGAAAGTACAGACCACAAGTTCAAAAACCATAAGTTCACCTACAAGAACTTAAATACATAACATAAGTTCAAAAACCATAAGTTTACCTACAACAACTTAATTACATAACAGAAGTTCAAAAGCTAGAGCTTGGCCTAGTAGATGATCTAGTTAAATACAGACCATAAGTTCAAAAACAAAAAGTTGCAAGCAGTTGCACTGTCATCTACAAAAACTAGCAGGACAAATTAGACTTTGTTCTTTCCTTTAGTACACTTCCTTGACCTAGTAACAGGTTGGCTACTTGGACCTTGAATAGGTTGATGTGAACTCTGAGTTGTGTTAATGGAGGGTTGTGGTTGTGAAAGAGACTGCAATGAGCTTCTTGTGAATCTCCTTGGTGGGTCTGGTGGGTTTGCTGTGGATGTAGTCTTTGGTGCAGTTTGTGTAGAGGACCAGAAGTTTTCTTGCTGGTTTTTTAGCTCTTGCCTTTCCAATTCTTTGTCCATCCCTAGCACTTTGCTCTGCTGCTGTCAGTCCACCCTTACATGTCTGTTTGTTGTGTCCATAAGACATACATTTCTGACATTGGACTGTTGTGGACCTTTTTCCTTTGTCTGGTTCATCAGGTGCCCTTTTTCTTTGTCTAGATGGCCTACCAATGGCTCTCTTCATCACTGGTGGTAGTATGGTAGGTGTTTCGGGGTTTTCTGATATCCTGCGGGAGAGTTACAATTCCGGGACTGGTATCCTTGCGCCTGTAACTGCAAAACAACGGAGACTCCTTGAGGTGGGAGCTCCGCCTCCAACGGTCAAGTTAGTACTTGTTTGAGGAGTAATAAATGCGGAAAGTAAAGGTGGGAGATCTGGTTCCTCTAGGGGAGGAGTGATCAATGTGTTTAGACTTCTCTAGGTGAGAGTCATCAATTGCTGAATCCCCTTTAATGAGGATTATTTAAGTATTTATAGTCTTGAGAAGCGTGCCAATCCTAGGTTTAGGTTAACCAGGGAAAATTGGGCTTCTCCCGGACTTTGGGCCTTGGTGGCCATTTTGCCTATTTGGCATATGGGAGGCCACGTGGCGTGGTCTGATTAGTCCATGTTGGACCTCTTAGGGTGACAAGTGGCGGACGCTGATTGGCCCACGTGGTGGACACGTGGCAGGTTCGGATTGGTCCATTTGTCATGGGTAATTTTTACGCTAAACAGTAGGCATATCAATCTCAGGCCAGTGATCAAAATCTGGGACAGAGTGTATTGGACTGGCATATTCTTGCTTATAAGTTTGGACTGAGAACCATGTGCTACAGAACTGGTGTGGGTTCAATCCAGCAGCCAAGATTGCTCTGATTGCATGTTTGCAAGGCAATCCAAAAATTTGCCAGGCCCCACAGAGACATGTCTTCCTGTTTAGTGACACAAGAAGCATAGACTTCCCATCCTTCACTTCATATTCACCCTCATCTGACTGATAAGCTTTGCAAGTCTTTGATTCAAAGGTCAACATCTTTATTCTCTTGACTATATTAGGACATGGTTCATCCTCATTCCAGTTGTTGCACCTTTGTCTTCTTGTTGATAGTCTCACCATGCACATTCTTCTTATACCTATGCATTCATGTTAAGACATGTTAGCTTCTAAATAAAATGGTCTGGAATATGTTAAAAGAAGTCAGAAACTGAAAAAGTATACCTTCCAGAAGTGTTAACACAGGCCTGCATCTGTCTACACCCAAAGTTGAATTGAAGCTCTCTACAAAGTTGGTCTTATTCTCATCACTGCAAATGTTTGGATCAAATTTGTGTCTTGTCCATCTTGGATGATCTCCCAATTTAGCCAACCATTCACAAGCTAGTGGATTCACAGCCTGAATCCTATCCATAGCCTTTTTGAAGGTGAAAGGGGATGTTTCACTACAAGCCAACCAGAACAGAGAATGCATCAAAGGCCCAGGAAATGATGCTTTCCAGTTCTTAGCTAAGTGTTTACAGCAGTATCTCCTATCCACTTCAGGCCACACCTCATTTAGTGCCACATCTATTCCATGCACACAATTTTTTAGGAAAACTGAGGTTACTTGTTATTTACAATTACATAATTTACAATGTGTGTGAATGACAGAGATAACTTACTTTTTGTCTGTCTGAAATTATACACCAATCATTTCCCCTCTCAGAACCTGACAGGATATGCTTGAGGTGCCAGAAAAAATACTTCCAACTGTCACCATCTTCCTTGGGAACAATAGCCCATGCAAAAGGAAACAACTCATTGTTTCCATCTATAGCCATAGCAGACATAAGGATCCCACCAAAATGACCTTTCAAGTGAGCTCCATCAACCCCCACCAAACTCCTACATCCTGCAACAACACCATCAATGGCAGCCTTGAAAGAAATGAATATGCTTGAGAATGTGAGGGATGGATCAGGTGGATTCAGTTGCTTCCATGCACAATTTGCTGCAGATCCTGGGTTGGTTTCCTTAATCATCTCACAGTACTTTGGCAAATACCCATAAGAAGTATCATGCCCACCATTTATCTCCTTCAATGCTACCCCTCTCATCTTGTAAAGGGTGTTGGTAGCCATATGCACTCCATATCTACTGAATAACAGATCATTCAGTGTCTTTCCAGAGATGTCATTATCTGCCCTTATATCTTCAAGTAGTTTTTCAGCAGCCCATTTAACAGTCACCAGGGGATTCCTTTCATCTAAGCCTCCACAAGTGTGCTCAGGGTTCTTAATAGTCTTTATATCCCATGTCACTCCATCAGGTATCCTACTTGAATGAATTTTCCAACTACAGTTTAAAGCAAGACAGGAAGCAGTGAACCTCCTTGGACAGCTCCTGTCAACCACTACTGCAAATCCACATTGAATGCAGTAATCTCTGAAGACAGAAATGAAATGGTCTTTATCACTAAAGATCATCCAGGGCTTTAACACAATGCTGCCAAACTGAACATCCTACTGAAATAAGTTTCATCTGCATTAAGACCTCTCTGCCAGCAGTCTGATGAGTATGGGTCATATGTGTCATGAACACACCCACTGCCTTCATCCTCTCCCATATCATCTTCCAACTTAGTATCCTCATTCAATCCATCTTCCTGCTCACCAGCATCACCAAACACAGATTCCAGAACATCTCCCTCATACATGTCATCTTCCAGTCCAGCACCCTCCACCAACTCATCAGTATTGTTAGCTCTACTGGTCTCACCAGTCTCATATGTTCTCCCAACCTGAGCATCCCTAGCCTCCAATCTCATAACTGCTTCATTAAACTCACCCTCATCCACAACCATAGCATCAACCATGGTTTTATGAGTCTGGACATTCTTCTTCCTAGCAGCTGTAGGTCTAGGTATCTTGTGAAGGACAAGGGCAGAGTTACATTGCAACTTTGAGGGTTTGTGGACAGAAGAATCTGTTTTTTTATGAATCTGAGGTGCATTTGAGAAGGTTTGTTGTTGGGCCAAGGTTTCTTTATGGGTATCACTACGTAGGTGGATCTTCCTCTTGACAGGTAGTTTCTTAGGTCTCACTGTTTTAGGAGCACCCTTTTTCTCCCTCTTTTGTTCAGTCTCCTGCTCACCCTCATCCATGTCATCTACTAGTTGCTCTAGTTGCATCTCTACCCTAATATCATTCAAGTACTCCTCATCATCACCAACATTTTCATTCCCACCTTGTTCATCATCAACTGATGCATTTTTCTTAGGAGGGCTAGGACCAAAATGTACACTAGGAATTTTTTTAAGGCTCTCAGCAAGCCTTCTAGCAGCAATTACACAATCATTAGGCTTGTCAACACAACCAATCCAAATAGTGATCTCATCCTTATCCTTTAATCTATCCAGCATTGACATTAAATCACTATCAGAAGTAATCTTAACATCTTTCATGTTATAGCAATAGTGAAAGCTAGGGAATTTAGGAAAGTCATACTTATTTTTCTTAAACCCTTCCTCACACTCAATGATCAAATCTATCCACATGACCTTGTCAATATCTTGTACAGATACTTCGATTATGTTACTCATATAGGAAAACTTTATAATACACTGTTCCATTCTGCAACATAACAACCACACGCATATATTTCAACATCAAACACGTACTAGCAAGCATAAAGATTTCATCTTTGATAAAAACGTACTCAGACAAACAAAAACAGAGCATGCAACTTTTGCAATTAAAAGAACAACAACAACATACTTAAAATTAAAGGACATACCTTGCTTAAGGTCTGTATATCAGTTTAGCAACCGCAAGAATTCCCCGATATTGCGAATTCCGTCAGAATTTCGAGAACAAACCCTAAAATTCGAACCCCAAATTTCACCAGAAACCGAACAACGAACTCTAATCAATTATTTCTAACAAACCAACAACAATTTCTCCAAACTATCGTCACGCAAAAGTGTTTGATCCTTACAATTCTTCGATTAATCTACTCTACAATACGATTTTATGAAGGTTGAAGGAAGATGAAAGAGTTTTGGGTTTTTTATTTTTTTTGAAGACTATCAAGCATACAGAAGATGAAATGAGTGAAAGAAGATTAAATCAGGGGTAGGTAAGTCATTTCATCAAATATGGTAAACTATTGAACCATTTTGTGGTAGGTTAGCCCATTTAATGACAATTAGGACACTGTAATCAATTATATAAAATCCCAGGGACACTGTAGAGAGTTCGAAAAAAGTTTGTCTCCCATGTGGAATTTTTAAAAACAGGAGACTACCATATAGAATATCCCAAAAAAAAAATTTATAGCAATTAAAAGTTAGTATTATGGAATAATAAACACCAGGAATTAAATTTCCAAGCTATTTATTAATGTATGATAAGAGTGTGTAATCATCTTTCCAAGGTGGCAATCTCTACAATTTGTAACTATACTTCGATCCCTGATTATCTAGAAGTTGTGTATTTACCTCTCATCTTTTTATGGTTTGTTCTTCATAAACTCACAGTGACGGGATACTAGCTAGGTATGTGGTAAGATCTCTAATTTTTAAGAAAGTTGTGTTTTGAAAGGTTGAAATATTTGTCCTTTATCTCATCTCACTGTTGACACCGAAATTTTGTTAATTATTTGGTGTCAAATATTTGTAAATAAGGAGATAATATCAAATATAAGATATTTATCTTCAAGATCTCGTAGAATATTTGATAGTTATCATGTTTACTAATCTACGACATTCTATATAAAGAGAGTCGTTTCTTGGGTTTAATTAGGCTCACATGGAATAAGTCAAAAAGACCCCATCTCCTCCCTACTACCAAACATTGTAGGTACAAGTATGGATTAAGCCGACAAGGCCCCGTACTACAAACAAATATCAAACCCCAACCTTTTGGAGAGAGGAATCAAGAGATTTACAAGAGTTGTAACTCATAAATTATCAATGAAATAATTATTCTCGTATATTTTTCTACCTCTTTAATTATATATTACAGGTTTGAATTTTTATGGTTTACACTCACCACGCATTTTTTAGATACCCTAAAAGAAGAATAATCAAGAGCACGACTAGAGTTTGATGATGATTCAAATCACCAACGCTAGTGGTAGAAACAAACGAATTAAATGCTAATCTAGCCCCTTTTTTTTCCGTACATATACTCTCAATCAGTCAATTGTATCTTTTTTATTCTCTTGATGATATTCTCTCTTAAAATTCTACTACCATACTTCTAATCTTCAAATTTCTAACCTTAAAGACCTTTTATTTAAGGAATAACAAGATACGTAGCCTCTTTTTTTTTTAATAACATAAGTGTTTGGGTCCAATTTACTTTAATTGGGCCGGTTCAAAATGGTTGAATTACAAATCCCAAAGCAAGGTTTAACTCTCCAAACAAATGCTAAGTCAGTCAAAGGCCCAATAAATATGGCAAGTCCATTTGACCTCAAGGCCCATTTATCTATTGAGTAAGGTATAAAAGCCTTCATTTTCCTCTCTCTACATTTATTCACTTCAAGCCTCAAGCAATTAATACTCTTGCACAACTTTCTCTCTCTAAAACACGGTACTGAGTTCGGCATCGGAGGAGCCTTCCTCTGCACAACCCCCAGGCCAGTTCACTTGTGTTTGCTGTGCAGGAAATCTTCCTCCCCGTCATCACTCGGGCCGAGTCCAGTCTTCAGCCCATTAGAAAGGTCCAGACGAACGACATATTGTTTTCACTCGGAAATAATTTGGCGCCGTCTGTGGGGAGGACGTTTAAAAAATATATATAAGCCAAAAATCGATCATTTTAACAACATGACTAAGAGCAGAAAGAGTGCCAAGAGCACTAAAAAGAATGATCCTCCTCACTCGAAGAGAGGTCCACCTTCTTCATCATCTTCTTCGGGAGCGGCTTTTTCTGAGAAAGCCGCATCCGATAGGTCACCCTCCCGTCGTACTGAGCAGCCGTCGAGCACTCACCGGCCGAGTCAGACCAATGCTAAGAGCCCAACTCCTAGCTTACAACTCACAATCTCACCCGACACCTTAGACGGGTCCTACTACAAAGGAGGTAGCGAAAGCCGTCGCGGTCTTCATGGACCTCATGAAGGCCCAGGCAGGCAATTTTCTGCCACCTCCCAGCCAATCAGTCCACGCCAACACTCCTCAGCAACCGAGAAACCTGAGAAGGAAGACCGGCTAAGAGGACGGCGGGTGAGCTCCATCTTTCAAGGAGCTCAGAGAGAAATGGGAAGAGGATACTTGGAGAACTGAACGGGAAAGAAAGAGGAACTCCCAGTTCTTCGAGGAATCCTAGACCCGAAGTTTCAAAAGCAGTAACACCGCCTCTGCGTGGCAGGAACCTGATCGCCGAAACGTTCACGAACGTATCGGCTCAAGGGAGGTAAGCGTGCACAGTCGCCTCACTTACCTAGAAGGGACTGCACCATACCCCGCACCGTCCCGGCCGAGGACAAGCGAGGTCCCTTCAGCTGGGTACAAAAGGAAAGTCGTGATGATACCCACCAATTCACCCTTTTAGAGCTGGATTCTGGAAGAGCATGTACCGACGTTAAAAATACCGGCGCACATAACATATGATAGAACTTCTGACCCGAAGGACCATATCGCCTCTTATGAGGAGCACATGTATCTGAACCCCAGGTCTGAAGCGACCTGGTGTAAATATTTTCGGACCACTCTCAAGGGTGTTGCGCAAGCATGGATCACCAAGGGAGTGAAGGAAGACTATAACCGGTTGGAAAGACCTTTCAAACAAGTTTAAGAGCAAGTTTTCTACGGAAAATCGCCGAGAGAAGACGACTGCAAAGTTGATGAGCCTGCAGCAAGGGGAGGACGAAAGCCTCCGAGACTATCGGACTCGCTTTAGCAACGAGTCGTCCAGAATTACAATTCTGGACCAAGGGCTAGCCGTTTTCGCATTGCGGAATGGGCTACTAATAAGGGTATTTTTCTCCCTTAGTTTTAGGTTTATTTTGGTCATTCTTGGTTATTTCTAGTCCTTTTAGTCTTGTTTTAGTTAATATTGTCTTAGTTTATGTTTTTAGGCCTTAGTTGTGAATAATGTGCTTTTTGCTCAGTTTCTAGCTTGATTTGCGTGCTTTTCTATGTGATCTTTCACTCTTTTCTCTCTTGTTCTATTTTTCTAGGTACTTGGCAATTTCCTTGATGTTTACGACCCGAGTGAAGGCCGGAAAGTTCAATAGAAGAAGCCTTGAAGCTAAGAAGTTGAGCAATCGCAGCGCTTTAGGCTAGAACCCCCCCAAGCATCCCTTCAAGCGGCAACAAGCAGCACAGGCCACCGCGGGCGTGGCTGCTGCGTTTTCCCAGTTTCGACAAGCTTCTTGTAGATGCCCCGGAGATGCTGCCACCGCGGGCGCAACCGTGGCCACTGCGAGCGCGGTCTTCTGGGTGTTTTTTCGCGCTTAATCTCTGATTTTTCTCCTT